GAATGACTTCTAAGTCTTCTCTGTCATAAGTTGGGTTGCCATAAGTCAGAATTGACTTGGCACGGGAAACTATTATTATTCTCTAAAGACAGCTGCAACTTTGGGTCTACCTCCTCACTTACTTATCCATACATGTTTATGAATGCATAAACCACCCTTCAACATACCTATTTCCTTGCAGCACTAAAGCAATAAAAATAACACCAGTGAGAACAAAGGCAAGCATAGGACAGCAGGGGAAACATCATTAAGACAACTAAACCAAATCCAAGTGAAACCAAACAGCAACAAAAATTGTGGTAGCTCAGAGATTTAAAAAAACTAATTTCTGTGAGAGTTTTCATGAATTGCCATCCATTTCTTCAAGACACTCTTGCAACATGTGGACCCTGGGTTTATAGTGAGCATGGTGATAGAGGCTTAACCATGGGTAAAAAAGTGTTGGTATGGGACTAAGTTGAAGGACAAATGCATATTGATACCTGGTTTTGATTTCCACGGTGACAATCCTATAATTAACAGAGGTAAGGAACTTTCAAGGTGTTGATAACATCAGCATCCCGGCAGCTCACACTGAATGTTCACTACCTGTGTTATTAATGCCAGCATCTTAGGAACTGAACTGAAATCCATGAACGCTCACACTGAGATAAACCTCACATTACTTTTGCTTTTAGTTTGTTTTGTTGTGTTGTTGTTGTTGTTGTAGAAATGGATTAACACACAGAAATGGACTACAGTGGTGCCTCACTTGACGACATTAATCCATTCCAGCGAAATTGCTGTAGAGCAAAATCGTTGTCAAGCGGGGGAGGAAAACCCATTGAAATGCATTAAAAACCGGTTAATGCGTTCCAATGGGCTAAATACCTCATCATAAAGCGAAGATCCTCCATAGGGCGGCCATTTTCCAGTGCCTGTATAGCGAGGAATCCATCCTAAAAACAGCGGGGAGGCATTTTGGAACCCGACAACCAGCTGTTTTTAGATCATCGTCTAGCAAAAAATCGGTTCCCGAAGCAGGGAACCGATCATTGTGAAGTGAATTTTTCCTATTAGAACATCGTTTTTTTTCCTATTTGAACAACCTCATTGTCAAGCGGTTTCATCGTTTAATGAGGTAATCGTTAAGCGAAGCACCACTGTACTTATTTTAACAGCATAAGGACATTTGTACCCTAGATTTGAAAATTTGGGCATGTGCGAGAAAGTCATTGGCTCTAAATGGCTACCGTTTAGAGTCATGAGTACAAAGTAGTGAGTACACAAGCAAGGTGCCATCACACATATGACTTTCCTCTTTTCAGCCTGTGAAAGAAGCCACAAGAGGGCCTTTGAAGACATGTGCCTCACTTTCGATTCTGTTCAAAAAATAACTGGGAGCAAGTGATGCCCTTTAAACACGAGCAAAACCCTCACCCACGCGGCATGCCACAACCACAAAATATCTACGAAGTAGAACAGAGTTCAAGTCAATCCAAGTCAAACACATAAAAACAGCAGCTATATTTGCAGACTCAATTTGTCGCATGGAAAATCATGCCGCTCAGTAGGCCACAAATCACATCTACAGGGACTTCTTGGCTTATAACAATTTGCCTGCAAAAGTGACACTTTTTGCATAACTGACCAGCAGGATTTTGTCCAAAGTGTAACAACAAATAAATGCTTCATGATGGGCAACAAACAAGCAAACAGGAAGCAGCTTTGGCAGTCATGAAAGAAGGAAAGGGCCCAGTCTACCTCCTGAAAATAGCAAGAGACATGTAATGTGGTCATTAGCAATGTCTTATTTCTGAGCTCATCATTTACATCGTCCACCAAAGGGGATGCTCCCTCATGGTAACAATTGCCAAATACTTAAAAGGTCAGCCACACATGTCGCATGCCTGCCCTGGCTTACACTGTCCTCGTCATTGACGGAGGCATCATGCTCCAGAAGAAGGCGCACCGCCTGCTCGTGTCCGGCTCCGGCAGCCCAATGGAGAGCGCTCCTTTCTATCTGGAAAGACAGGGAGAGATCAAGCAGAGGAAATGGAAGGAAAAACAGGCCTGACGTCAGAGCTGGGAGGGACAGCCAGAAGCAAGCTGCCCTCAAGCTGATTTTCTGCTCTCCACAGCCCGCTCCCTGCCACTTCCCACATCACAGGCAGCTGCTTGGCCAGAAATGGAGGGAAATGCTTTTGGTTAAAGGTATTTTCAGATTCATCATTCCCATTAGATAGCTTACTGGTTTAGGTCTCTGGCTGCAGAGACAGAGGTTGGGAGTTCAATTCCCCCAATGGGCCGCCTTGACAGAGGCTGGATTCCATGAACTACAGGGCCCTTTCCGGGTGTGTAGTTCAACAACTACTACAACAACTACTACTCAGACATCAGAAGTTTAGCACTGGGCTGTTCTATTCTGTAATTACAAACATGAAATTAAACCTCACGTAAAGGAGCTTCCCTCATCTATTTATTTTCACAAAACACTTCACTTAGCTCCAGTGCTGAAGAATTTAGATTTGAGGGAGAAAGGATGTTCCGGGGTCCAGAACACACAGGCAATAAGCACCTACATTATTCTTGGCTTTGATATCCACTCCTCGCTTGATCAGCTCTGCCATGCGTGCCGTGTCATTCCGCCTGGCTGCATCATGGAACTCTTTCTCTGAGATAAGCACTTGAAAGAAGAAAGGGGTGTTAGCAGGCCGTCAGGATCCTCCGGTACATGGTTTTAAACAAAATATCACATCCAAACTCTCAAACAAGGCTAAGAAGCTCTCAACCAAGGCTAAGCGACAGCTCCCACAAGCTGCAGTGTCATCATGGAAAATGGTCAGAATTATTTGGGTGTCAGTACAACATTTGTTGAGAAAGCCACAAGTTCTCTCCCCCCCCCGGCATGTTCTGCCCATGTTGTCGCGTACAGGGAGCTATCACGGAAGGAATGACCAGCACAGAGATTTCCGAATCTAATCCTGCCTCGAAGGTGGTGTTAGAATGCAGTACCAACCAACCTGGCAGTGAAGCCAATCCGGGGTTTTTTTAGCCTCAATTTTAAAGGAGCTACCCAAGTCTCTGGAACAAAGGTTTGGGGGTGGGGTTGATGACACAGATATAGCCTTCAGCACCCTGGACAGCTCCTGCAAAATTAGACCCTGCATGGATTCTCTGTCCCTATGAAACTAGAAACATCCGTCTCCCCTGGTGCCGACACATGTACGAAAGTGATTTGAAGAAGGGGAGCAATAGGCAGAGAGAAAGCCAATTCCTCTCTTATCTCTCCTAAATCTACGTAGAGATCCACAAAATGAACCGGTTCACAAAATGCATTCGTTCTTTGAAGAATGAAAATAACAAGAGTCAAACTGTGGTGCTGGAAGGAATACTAGGCCAGGATGGGCTCCAAAGGGTGAGGCCACCTCCATGGCTCCTAAATGCATCAGAGGACCCTAGGGTCTGTCAGCACTTTGTTTGCAAAGGGGACTCAGGTGTTAAAAGAGGCAAAAGGATAAAAAAAAGATCTTGCCATCTTCTGCCTTAAGGATGCCCATCAAAGAAGCTGACACAGAGATAGTTTGTAAATGTTTTCTGACTTCAACTCCCTACAGTCCCTAAAACAGGGAATCGTGGAGTTGTCATTTAAAAAAAAACTTTCCCAAGCTCCCCCACTGTTTCCAATGGCCTGCAAAATTCTTGAGAACAAAGCAAACAAACAAAAATGCCACCCTCTGTCTCAATCCAATCCAAAATTTAAGTCAACATTCTAATAAAATTTTTCGGGAGCTTCTCTATAGGAAGAGCAAGTAATCGTAGCTTTTGAGCCATACTAAAACTAAACTATCGAGAATGTTCAGTGCCTTCCAGTTCCTTTCCCATCTAAATAATGTTGAGAATGTGCATTATTCAGTTGTCATGTCTTAAAACATTTACACACCTTCCACTGAGATTATTTGATTGCAACACTCCAGCCATTCTAGATGGCTCATCCATTCAAAAGTAAGCAGCTTATGATCATAGCAGAAATGAATTTTCAGATTTTTTCCTCCCAATTAAATATTTCAGTCCAACTACTTATGTTTGGGGGATTCTCAGTGTGAGGACAGAGAGATGGACTAGTACTCTGGGAAGCAGGGTTTAAATCCCTGCTCAGCCATTAAAACTCACTGGGGTTTTGGAACTGGTAGAACCATTCCTTAAACATCTCACTTCCCTTGAAAGGCCTATTAGGGTTGCTACAAGTCAGTTCCAACCTGATGGCACAGAACACACACACACACACACAACCCCCCCCACATATATTTTGGGGGGAACTTTCAGATTTAGAACAATACATTCAGCTGGTATTTGTACATGATGTTGAAAGTGAACTGGATCCTGTTGCTAACCCTAATGAGAGTAGACCCAATGAAATCAAAGAAACTTGGTCTACTCTACTTGCGTGTGGGACTAACAGTTTTAGCTCAATACGCTTCTACAATGTTTGTTTATTAAAGGGATGCCAAATAAACATAGCAAACTGGTTTCCTTCAATTTAGGACCATGTAAAACTTTCCATGGTTTCAGTTATTTCTTTCTTTGTCATGGCATGCTAGCAATGATCTTCTGCTATACTGTTTGCAATTCCACCAAACTTGCTGTACTACAAACTTAGAAAAGAAAAT